TTTTTATGAACCTCTTGACCCCTCGCCGCTCGCATTTCTCCTCTTAGGCCCGTCTTTGCCGTTCTTTGCATATATTTTACATGTACCAGCCACTGGCAGCAACATCAGCCCGCACGTACAGCACACACTGATGATCAGTTTGTTTAGACTGCGACACTTGCCACAGCGGCCAACATTAAGACTCGGTTCATTACTTCCACACCTACGGTACGAATACTTGTTTACCTACAAGTACATGTTACAATAGTTACTACTAAGCTACTACTACTCAGACTAGGTAGTAGTAGTCCAGGGTCGACACTAACGCTAGTCCGTTAGTCCGAGACTAGTAAAAATCAGAAGGCAACTAGTAGATTCCCATTTAGCAGTTAGTCCGCGGGGACTAGTATATTTCCCGTCACCTCACGCGTCCCATTTCCCATCGATTTTACGGCTGGGCAGGCGTCTCTTCATCCAGCATCCAAAGAGCTATATATAAAACTCCGTCCCATTAACCAAGTTTTTCCCCCCCTTCTCTAAGCATGCTAGACCTACTACGCAGTACAACACATTGTTAAAAGAACAGAATGGCGACCAGGGAACCCAGTTTCTATGGACCTCGATCGCCTTGACCAGCTGTTGACATTAGAACAACGCGTCTGATTGTAGACAAATAACGCAACGCTAATCAGTTATGTAGCTCTCATAGCAAGCGTATTTACTCGCAACCCACATCGCATGGCATGTGTTACTTGAAGAGTTGTACAAAATAGTCAGTGAAGTAATTCAGTGGTACATAATTATCCAAATAGTTATAACTACTAACATCAAGGTTGTCTATGTGGGGGAAGTAATTTTGGACGGCGTCGCCTCCACTTTCCAACGTAAATCCGCAGGAGCGGGAAATAGAGGCCTAGCGTGTACGCTACTGAATAGACGAAAAAGATGCGTGCGTTCCAGCCAGCGTGGAAATTCGTTTCATTACCGATGGCTAGAGTATGACACAGCCAAGGGTATGACCTGTTTGGATGCAGGCTGTCTATGTCTGGTAGTTTTTCACCGGCACTACAAACTATCGTTTGCGACAACTGTTTAACGCGCATGATGCTTCCGAGGGGCACACAGAAATCCTAGCAAAAAAGAAAATGCAAGTTACCTGCCTGACGAACACAGTGGGAGCGCCCCAAGTGACCCAGAATTGAGATTGAAATCGGTGTGTGGCCATCAAAAGAGGTGATAAAGTGCACACGCACTGGCACGTGTACGTGCACACGCACGCACACGCACGCACGTGTGTACGTGCACACGCACCCACGCTACCGCCGCGCACGTTGTACGTGCACAGTACGCGCACGCACGTGTACGCTGCACACGCACCGCGCACACGTGTACGTGCACACGCACCCACGCACACCGTGTACCGTGCACACGTACGCCACGCACCTGCTACATGCACACGCACGCTAGGCACGCCAACTGGTACGTGCATACGCACGCACTGTGTACGTCATACGCCACGACGTGTAACGTGATACGCAACGCAGCGTGTACGCTTGCACACGCACGTCCGCCAGTGTACGTGCACACGTACGCACGCCCGCACGTGTACGTGCACCGCACGCACACCACACACGTGGCCCCACACGCACCAACGCACGTGTACGTTTGCACTTGCCCGCACGCCCGCACGTGGTCGTGCACACGCACGCACACACCGTCGTACATGGCTTGCACGCACGCACGGTACGTGCACAACGTGTACGTGCCTATTCACGCACGCACCGTGCTACGTGCACACGGCACGCATGCACACGCACTCGGCGGCACGTGTAGGTGCACAAGCACCCAGGCACGCGTGTCGGTACATGCCCATCCGCACGCACGTGTACGTGCTACGTGCACGATCAGCTTTCCTCCCAGATCTGTCTTTGCCCACTACTTCTGCAACTCTGATTTTCAATTCATTACGGTTTTCCCTTCGTAACCTAGCACCGCCATTGTTTAGCAGTGATACGGACAGTGCACGCGCCGGCCATCTATCTCAGCGATTAGTAACATGGTGAACAGAACCCCATTTAGAAATGCAATGACTACTTGCGAAAAACGGGCAGGCCCCTACACCGATTCACGTCAGCTGTGCCAGTTGACAAAGACCAAGGGCGTTAGACTGCTGGCAGCACTTACCTCACCGACAAGGCCTTCGCAGACGGTTCATTACCGCGTCAGCCGATAAACAGGCGCGGCGGAACAGTTGTAGCTATAATGAGGCCAAATTCTTTTCCTGTGAGTAAAGTGACGGATCACAGATTTCTCATCAAGTAGGCCGAAATTTTATTTTCGAAATTAAAATTTATTTAATTTAAATTTTTCCATCTTATGGATCCATATCAAGTTACATGCTATTTCTATACAATTGAATGTATTTTACAAACCTTTCTGGGGACACCCTTGTACCACTGCGAAGAGACCCCCTGTATCCCCTGCAGAGAAGGTGGCGGCCTCCACCCTCCTACGCCACCTACCTCCCCGCAAATTCACACAATGCTCGTCGCTTTGCGCCTAGTAAGAGTCCTTCGGCAGGCACTCAGTAAGAATTTGGTCAAGGACTAGTATCATTTTTTCTTTACTCAGTCCTGTGGACTAGTGAACTAAATGGTTAGTGGTCTTAACCCTCGGTCAGTATACTAATGTTACCAGCCACTACTAGTATAGTACTAGTACACTACCAGGCCGCAGGAGTAATCAGTCCATAGTAATAATGAACCTAACTCTGTTACTAGCTAATTAACTTCACTAATAATGACGAACCCCTAACCATAACCGCTAACCTTATTATATTGACTATCAATATTACTATCTTATATTGATGTAATGACATTGGATTTTCATTGCCCATGCCACTACATTGGGGCCCATATAATATTGGGAGCCATGTTCTCTATCCTTTGGACAACCACTAGTACTACAGGATCTACTACGACTCGCAAAGAAACGCTCTTTTTGCTAGGGCTTTAGAATACCTAGTATACATAGCACACAGGCCTTGAAGCGTTTCAATAACAATACGAATGCTAACTAAATACCGAAACTCTATTTTTACTCACGACAATTGTTTTAATGTTTCCTAGTCATGGGCCTACCCTCTTTCAGGAAGGTTTTTCGAGGTGCAAAGGCTACTATTATAGACTGGACTCGGCTCCCAACCTCGATTAAGCCATGAGTGACTAAGTAAGCGAGAGGTGCCGACGAGGTGCCAGTCTATGGGGCTATAGGCGGTGCGGAGCAGGCGGCGACTGCCTTCTCCAACTCCTGTACGAGGCCTCGCCATTTGGAACGTTGCACAAACGTCTGCAGGCGTTTGCAGGGGCGGGAAAGAGCGCGGCTTAGGTGTTTCCTGCACTTCTGACAGCCGTTTCCATTACCTGGGGCAAGCGTTCTGGCGATCATGTCAGAATTTCGACAGTCTTTCTGCATGACTTTCGGTTGACACAGCCTCGGTTCCACGAACAGATTACTCGGTTAACAAGTTTTTATAACAACCGTGACACATGTTCACGTTCCCAATGTCTATCCCTCTGATGTCCCCACTAAATCTGCGGACTGTTCGCATGGGCAGCGATGGAATCCGTGGCGCCGCCAATTCATTCGGCTCGGCACGGTGCATTAGCTGAGCCAGCGCTGGCATACTGTCGTAGGACGTTCGCCGCGGTCGCGCGCGGCGCCTTGCCGCGGAAGCTGCGCGCAAAGATCTCGCCGCTTCAGCGCTTCGGATCAAACATCTCCTTCGCAACCTTCTCTAGTATCCGTCTCATCTGGAAATCAAATTACTGCGACAAGGCTCGGCTGGCGCCTGCCCCACGCTCCACCTCGCACCCCCACACCTCCCTCAGTGGCTCCTTCCAGAATTAGCCACCAATTTAAAAAAACAACCTAATACTACTCACTAGTACTAGAGCTAGGTATATCTATGGTGGACCTAGCTCCAGGAAACGGTATTGCTAGGGTTAGAATACCCTTATAGAGGTAGAACCCTTAGAACCCTTAGAGGTAGAACCCTATTCTTTAGGGTATTACCTAGGTCTATACACAATAGCTCCAGGAAACGGTATTGCTAGGGTTAGAATACCAATACGGAATACCAATATTGGAATCGGTCCACGTGGTGGAATATTCCAATAATACCAATATTGACAATACCAATACACCGACCAATAGCTCCAGGAAACGGTATTGCTAGGGTTAGAATACCCTGACGTATTGACGTACCCCGGTGTATTGACGTGTTGATGTTCAATTGATTGTTCAATACCCCGGTGTATTGACGTTAGTCACACAGCCTGGTCGGGTTATGGTGGACCTAGTTCTAGTACTATAGCCCGCGTACAGTTGCCGCTGGCCTGTAGGCGGGCTATAGTACTAGAGCTATGCCTATGGTGGACCCGACGCCACCTTGTGCTCACCTCACCTGTGCCACTGTGGCTGTGATAATATTAATAATAATATTAATAATTAATAGGCCTATCACTATCAGGAGTAAGATAGGATCCTATATTATCTTACTCCTGATAATATCGTGGCACATGGTATAGCGTTACGATGTAAATCAAAACCATATAATATATAGAATACAAACTCTAAACCTATTCAGATATCCAGTATTCTATACCTGTGATCAAAACAATAAGCCTTGACGAGCCTTAGATCGATTTACCTGCAATTTGTAAACAAACTATTTCTCGCGTAAGTTGACGAGCAAACGCTCGTGCTGCCGTCTATAGGCTTACCTGTTGACCGAAGTACATTTAGTAATACCAAAGATAATACACTAAAAATAGATTTAAAAACACATTGTACGCGGCTGAATCCGGGCTGATTAATAAATAATCAGTAGTTTTGCTTTCATCTTTTGCTTCATCTCATTGTTCATTTCATAGCATGTAGAAACTTTAATACAGTTTTGCTATAATATTTGTTACCGGTTTACGGAAGTGGCGGACGAAAGTATGTGACCTTTTCACCCCAAGATGTCAGCTACCTGTGTCAAAAACAATGTTTTCAGTTCTCACAAACTTTTCTATTAATTCACAGTGCGTAGGGAAAACTACAATACACAAACATGGTTATAACTATACGTTTGAATGTATTTTGTTTGTTATTTGCATTAGTTTTGCTACTGTGCTTCCCATGCCACTCAGAGACTCCTGAGGCTGAGGCTGATGAGGATAGAGTTGAAAATGATTGCGAGGATGAAGATTGTGTTATGCATGAAAAGTTAAAATACACGAAAGGTGATCATCTGTTAGTTTTATTAGCTTATCTGACATAGTCATAGTAATTGTTGGTGTTGTTGTTATTCATTAATCCTCCTGCTACACGAGGTATAAAGACAAATTTCCATGTAATTATAACATCACCCTAATACATTACATACTTAATTAGCACATACGATTGGATGATAAAATAATTGTTTTGGTAGGCCCCTAGTAGGCATGCAGCTTGGGGAATAATATAGCTATACTTTAATTCCCACGAATATCAATAGACAGTCAACCCGAGAATCATATTGGTGGCTGACACGTACACGAGGGTTAAAGCCTCACAATGTGCATCCAAACGCTAATTTCTACAGTACTAGACTAGCAAATACTTCGTTTATATATATATATAGCATTACATCCTATATATCATTAACTGGAGTACTATAGATTAGTTATCTTGGCTGTTTCCAAATAAGTATCTTGAGCACAGCTTACCTGAGATTCTTTGCTTGTGCGTTTCCCTGCGGCAGATGAATGGTCAGACGAAGCTTCCCATTTCTGCATGTCTGCGTTATTTTGATCTATCGAGACATCGTCACCGCTACCGGCTGCTCTGTTTTTTATCCGTGTCAGTGCTAGAAAGGCATTCTGAGCAACATCCGGACGACTCTTCGCAGTGTTTGCCGTCGGTACGCCTCCCAGAGGGCGCCGCTGCTGGGATCCCGCCTCGCTGCCGTTCGCTTGTTTCTCGTCGCCGTTCGGAATCACGACGTTGGAGTCGACGATGCGAACACGCTTCTTTATTCTGGGTTTTGTTGCAACAGCTTCCCTGACGATGTTGTTGCCCCTGACGACGCCGGCTTCCTTGACGACGCCTGCTTCCTTGACGACGCCGGCTTGCTTGGCGACGCAAGCTTTCCCGCCGCCTCCCACGCCGATGAGCTCGCCGTCATCGCTCCTGCCTCTGCTGCCGACCTCGACACGTCGTGGGGCAGCATCACATCTCCCGCTCGCCGCTTCTCTCGCTCGACCCGCGTGTGAATCCTGCTGCTGCTGCTGCTGCTGCTGCTGCTGGTGCTGCTGCTGTTGTTGTTGTTGTTGTTGCTGCTGCTGCTGCTGCTGCTGCTGCTCCTGCTGCTGCTGCTCCTGCTGCTGCCGCTGCTGCTGCTGCTGCTGCTGGTGCTGCTGCTGCTTCCAGCGCACAGCAGCATCCGGCTGGGGGAACGCACCACCGCCACGCCGCGCGTCAACGTTTGGCACGGATTCCAAGATGGGATTGGACGGTTTCGCGTCGCCGGCGCTTGTCTTCGGTGAGTCGGACGCTGGCGGGGTCTGTTTGGCAACCTTCGTTGCACTGCTAGTTTCAGTTCTTCGCTGACTGAAAGGACGAAACGAATCGTTGGTATTATGAATATATATTGTGGAGGCTGAGCAGAAATTCAGGTTCAGCAGGTCTCACCTCCTTGATAGATCCCAAGACACATGCATTCATACCTGCACACACTCACCCTCACTAAGACCCACACACACACGCACGCACGCACACACATGCACGCACGCACGCACACACTCACCCTCATTAAGACCCACACACACACGCACGCACGCACGCACGCACGCACACACCATCACTAACACACATGCACGCACGCACACACCCTCACTAACACACATGCACACACACTCACACACACACACAAAGACACACGCTCATGCACTCACACACCCTCACTAACACACTCACACTCACACACACACGCACGCACACACACACGCGCACACATGCTCACACGCACACACGCTCACAGACACACACACACACACACCCTCACTAACACACATGCACGCACACTCACACGCACACAGAGACACACACATGCACGCGCACACACACGCTCATGCACGCACGCGCGCGCGCGTCCCTACCTCTTCTGCATTCCCTCGAGGAACAGTGCGATCTGTTTCTTGATGTAAGGGTTGCGTAGTATGCGTGCGACGGTCGGTCTGTCGTCCGGGTCCTGCCTGAGCAGCAGCTCGACGAGCGAACACAGCTCACGGCTGTACTGCTTCGGTGTCGCCGGCATCTACAAGACAGATCACTCGATGAAGCCACAATTAAAACTAGACAGAGGGCACTCACGGAGAGTGCATACCTCCGCGAGCGTGTAACATTTATGTGCTCGCTGGTGGCGGCTGCTGACTGACTCGCCTGCTGCTGACTCGCCGCTCACTGGTGGCTGCTGCTGACTCGCCACTCGCTGACTCGACGCGCTATCGATCGCGCGGTGGCTACACACACACACGAACACACACACGTGAGCGATTGCATGACCTCCGTTTGCGCGGAGGTAAAAATCTTTGTTTGCCCTCACCCGACCCAGGCTGAAAAGTTTGGGTTGTTAGGTAGGCTTTTTTTTAAGGGGTCTTTTTACAAATTCAGCATGTGGTGTCTACATGCTCGGGTGTGCTTGTGTGGAGATACCTTTTATGTTGAATTTTTGTTTTGCTTGGTACATGTAATGTATTGCTTACAGATTTATATAATGTACAGTGATACAATTTGTAAAAAAAAAAAGATCAATAAATTTTTTTGAGTCGGCCCCTTTTTGGCGGGTCGGTCGGGTGAGGACAAACAAACAATATTTTTATTATGGCCTGACGCGACGATCTTATCATATGCCTCCCTCGCTCCTCCCTCCTACTCCTAGTTACTTGTGTGCTTTACGTCCCCTTCCCTCAACCCGGGCATCCCTGTGTCTACACTGCTTCCCTCCTCTTTTAATGAGATACGTGAAGCTGTAAGGACGGGAACCTTTGATGATTAATAAAATATTATTTTTATTATTATTGCACTGACGGTGAAGAGGTTGCAAGCTCATGTTGATATATCCTTTCACAAGGTCTTAAAAATTATTTTTTAATTATTCTTATTAAATTATTATTTATTTTTTCCCCTGTCGTTAAATAAATATATACATGATTAATTAAATAGTCGATGATTATAGAGGATAGACGGTTGATTGTAGATGATCGATGAGGCACTGACCTTCCCTTGCAGGATCTTATAGACGAGAGAGTTCATGTCTCGCGCGTTGAACGCGTGTTTCAGCGTCAGGATCTCGTATATGCAGCAGCCCAGCGCCCAGACATCCGACTATAGCAACGAGAATTGTACAAAAATCACCGTCGTCATTTCTCCAAGAATCGCAATGATTTTTTCTATGCAAAGATACTCCCACAGCTTAAGTGGGAATTTTGCTGTGATGTGCCTATATCTAGTGTCTAAGAAGCACCTTCATAGTTTATAGCATCCTTGATGAACGTTGACATTATTTTCTAGATATTTCTGCATGTTTGTGTGCACGCGCACGCACGCATATGGTGCCATTTTTAAGAATTCCTACATGTCTATGCACGTATAGTCACGCCCCGCGCGCACATGTGCACGTATACGGAATACCGGTCAAGGTTTAAGTGACGGCTAACGGAACGCTCGGAGACCTTGTGGTTGTACGGTTTGTTGGAGAACAGTTCAGGGCTCATGTAGTACGGTGTTCCGATGAGAGTCGTCGCCATGTCGCTGCCATTGTCAAGGACTCGCGCGATGCCAAGGTCACCGACCTTGATGATCTTACTCTTCGTTAGGAAGATGTTCTGAGTCTTCAGGTCTCGGTGCAGGATGTAGCGTTCGTGTAGATACTAGAGAGAGAGAGAGGACTGGGATCAAACCAATGCCATTGTGGTACATATGGCACAACCGATGTGCGAACTGTATCGGGAGTAAAACCTTAGTTGGGCACACCCGGTAGGTCTGGGCTGCCCCGCCACCTGGTGTTAGGTAACGTAGTTATTTCCGCCATTGTTGTTGTTGAAACCACGCGGGCCCATTTTTAGTTTCTACTTGTAAAAGTGTAGAATTTGCTACTTAGAGAGTTTGTCCCTGTACTAGAGGTAAGCATATGTATAGAACACATTGTGGTGCAGATGTTTGAGGGGTTTAGGCCGATTAAGCACCCGGCTAATTACTGTATAAGGACTTATTTGTCCAATCTGTCAGAAACTGGGCGATGTGCCCTTCTGGTGTCTAGCTTGAGAACAAATTATTCAGTGTTTTCTTTAGCATTCGTTAGTGGCACTGTTTAGGCCCTGTCGAGTGGAGAAGTCATGTCCTGAGTTAGCTGTGGTATTGTTTAAGGACATTTCCATAGTTTTAGGCCCCGTTTGTGAAGTTGTAGGTGCATTTCCATGCCTGGCCACTGTAAAGTCAGTTCTCGTAGTTATCACCAGGTGGCTGCACCTTCCGGCATTTTACTGTTTGGGACTGTATGGATTCTTGTGATTTGAGAACTGATTTCCTGTTAGTAATTTTCGGTTTATACGTTTGTATTTCTAGTTTACGTGACCAAGAGAGAAGTGAACAAAATGTAAAGAGGAGGTGATCATGTGATCCAAATAAAACCATCGTTTGACTGGACTTGACCGCCTTCCTAAGTCTTTCTCGACGGGTGCCGTAACACGAACCACTGTATACACCCGAGTGATACAACCATGCCACCATGGATATCAGTGCTAGGACTGCTAAGCTCACATTGTTTGTGCGTCTGTGTGTATGTGCGATCGACAAAATGATGATCTTTACAAAATTTATAGCTAAGCATCGTTTATAAAATCTCCTATTCATTACTTATGATTTTACGCAACTTTACATTCTCTGTTAGTGTTTGGTGGCTGGTATGTGAGGTGGTATTTAGCCACTAATAGATTACCATCCGACTCAGCTGTATATCTTACTATTAATGCTAATTTTGAGTTGTCCGACAAGTTGAATCACCTGTAGTGCCATGGCAATCTGGACGAACCATTCAACGGCTGCCCTTTCCTCAAGCAAGACGCCATTCTGTTGTTTCAATCGTGTATAGAGGTCTCCACCTTCACAGTAACCCATAGCAATGTGCAAATAGCCATCGTCACACTCAAAGGAATCCTATCAACATACAAAGAAAATGTCAGTTTAATATTAGAAAGAGGAGAATATTAATTGGATATTAACAAGTTTGAACCAGGGAGCTTAAAACAGAGAGCGTTGGACCACCTACTGTGATCGACTTACCATTGCATATTGCAAGAACATCTAAAAAAGAAATGGACAAACCTTGTAGGACACGATGTTTGGATGTTTAAGCTTTGATAACAGTTTAGCTTCTTGCTCTGCCGCTTTTCTCTCTCTGTGGGATGCAGTCTTTAGGTCCATTCTTTTAAGGACATACTATAAATCAAGGAGAATATATGACTTGTCAGGGCTCAATTTTAACAGTCGTCCGGTCGTCCGTGACGACTGGATTTTCTCTCGGGCAACTAAAATTGCTTCCGTGGTTGTCCGGTGTCCAACCTCTATAAAAATTGTATATTCATAATGCGCGCGTTCATTTTACATACGGCCAGGGTTGCACAATACGCTGCAAACGTACATGTCTAGACGACAGAAATAGAATAGAAGTAGAACGCTCGTACACAGCCGCTCAGCGTTGTGCGCAGCATCGCCAGTTTCTCACAACTGTCACGTG